TTTTGCTTATTTTGTAAAAAAGGAAATGTGAGTATTCATGTTTCCAAAATAAATTTTGGAAAATGTCATTTTAATCAATTACCATTAATCAGTAATGACTAATGAGATTCCAAATTAATTCGTAACTAGTATATACAAAGAAGATGCATGTATGCATTACAATGTACAAACACATCTGGAATTGTGTATATTTGTGTAGTATATGATTTTTAGCTACGTATATAGAATTTTCTTGGGTCATTTTGGTGAATAATCAAAAAAAAAAATTAAAAAGTTAGGAAAAATGGGATATGTGGCAAATTGTAGACCATTGGATTAGGGATTTTGGGTTACTTTTTAAATTATATTTTTTTTGTTGTATTTTTGGCAAATTCTCCCAATTTTATATTCATACATTTGTGGAGAGGTATATTATCAATTTGTTGGAGTGTAGACAGAGTATGAAACTATATATGTTTCACGTTTGTTTATACTGTATGATTTACTTATATATGTGTATAGATAATGACATAGAAGAGCTCTCATGTGCCAACATAATTTCAGCATATATCGAGCTTTTTCAAACATATAAATTATATATACGTTTAGAAGTCAATTCTACCGGTTTATATTTACCGTTTATATGAATTAATTTAATTTACAAACACAATCTTTTTATATGGCTATATTTAAAAGGTAAAATTTGGAGTGGAGCTCCCTTGTTTGGGCTATTGACTCCCTTGTTTGGGCTGTTGGCTCCGGAAGAATTTCTTTTCTTGCTGGCTTATGGTTGTAATTCACGTTTGTAACTCCCGTTTTTAATATAATCGAAACAGATGACATAAAAAAAAAAGTGGAGCTCCCACATTGAAAATTAGAATGTAAGAGTTATCCTTAATGAAAATCTTTGAGTGTAGATAATGTTTGCATAGCAAAAACAAAATTCTATACGTTTAGATTCGCATAAATTAGTCTTTATTCTTACTTAATAATAAAATAATTTCTTTTTTTTCTATTCAATAATTGCTACAAAACGAAAAACTAGATTTTTGTAAATTTTTATGCGTTAAGGATTTTAACCAACCAATACTGTTATGTGTCGTCAATATTTAGAATTAAGTTACTTTTACTTTTATTCTTAATAAGAAATTTTCCACTCTTTCAAAATTCGTTTTCTTTTAAACGAGTCATCATCTTTTCCATTTAAGAAATTATATGCATTTTGGGAAATGTAAAATAAAATAAAATATTTAATAAATTTTCTATTTTTTCAGTTATACATTTTTATTTCTAAAAACAAATAATACAAAAAAGTAAACATTGCAAAACATACATTATATACGAAATAAAGAAACATATGTATATAC